ATTATGAAGTTAATAACACCTTTCATTATATATTAGACTACAGATACCTTATTATTTAAGTTTTTTAAAATTATATATATACCAGCGCCAAAGATCTTAAAACTATGTACATGCTAATACTAACACTAAAGGTTTTTGAAGCTATAGGCACATAAATTGTCAATGCTGAAGATTCTTGAGAATATGTAAACACCAATGCCAAAGATTCTTGGAAAGTTAATATTCGCTTACTCTTTATTCTTTCACTTTGTTCTTTGTTTGTTCCAATGTCAATCTCCACCTTAAAATGACACCACCACCTTATATACACAAGGTATTACAGCATTAACTCTTAGGTTCAGTTTTATTCAACGAATACTAAAATATCAAGATGTGGGTATTATCATTCTCAAAGATCGAACCCTTTATTTTCTGATGTATCCAGAAAACGTGTACCAGGTTGGGATCGGAAAGATAGGTCGGAATGATAAGAACATTCAGAACTAGAAACCAAAATTACGTATTTCATAATGACCCACATAAAAAGTAAATAATTGATATTGCCATTAGTGTTAACTTAGCATAATATTTTTTGTTTGTTGTTTCTTCCTGCAAAAAAAGATAAAAAAAAATCAAACATGTTACAGACACGGTTTTACTATTGTGAGCAAGTTATTATTACGTTAATTACAAGAAACTATTAATTTGAAACCTAAATAAACATTGAATATATCGAACCTACCTATTGCCACTTCAGCAAATATTTCTGTTAGCTTATAAGTATCAGGTTGAAAATTGCAATGTTCGTATTTTATTCATAATAGTTCAACTTTTTTTATTTAAAAATTACATAGCGATAAAGACCTAAATAAGCATATAATGCCTATTAAAAAGTTTTTTAAACGTATCATTGGTGATATTAATTAACTTCTTTACAGCATGGAATATTTCGAAAAGGATATGAAAAATCTAAATATTTAACGAAGGGAATGTTAATGCTTTATCTATTTTGACAAGGTTCCTTATCGCATTCGAAATAGATCAAAATTAGAGTTCTGCCTCATCAATTTAAAAAATTCATATACAGAAAAAAATATTAATTTAAAATAAAGAGATATAATAAAAGGTTAACCACAAAAAGTTGCAGTCAACACTTTCTACAAAGAAAAGATTCTGGAAAAATAAAAACACATGGCATTTTTTACATCAAACTATTATGAAAGTCCAAAATTTTGAGTTCATTATTTCTAGAGTCGACTGTACATAATTTATTGAAGAACGTCACAAAAAAATCAACCAAATAGCTAAAAAAATAAACTAAAGCCAAATGATTAAATAAAAATAAAATAACTAGGGTTATAGTTTTAGAATATCAAACTACATGTTATTTGTATTATTTCTATGTATTGTATATGTATTGTAAATTGCGTTAAATACACTCACCTCATATTCCCTTCAAATTCCTTGGATGCTGGTTTACACTCGACAACAAATCCTCAAAACAAACACAACTTATTATTGAGGAATCATTACACCTTATTCAAATTGCAGAAACTAAACGCATTACTGATACACATGCTCGATACATTATTAATACTATTATTATACCAACTATTGAATACCGACTTCATAATCTTGTACTTAGCCAACAAATCTGCAAACAGATACTTTCACAT